GGGTGTGGGACAGGCATTAAAGACCGTCACATATGCATGTCAGTAGCCAATCGGAGCCCAGAGGCACAAGTGCTGATCAGATCACCAACATTTAATTTAAATTCTATGAAATACCCACAAGCTACTGGTCCCCAGTGCGTAACTACCAAGAATCTGGTCCTTTCTCACATAGACCATTCAATGGTATCATCCTCCCATTCCGAAATGGAAAGGCAAGATCAAGCAGACTAACCCTGGTTAAGACACGGTGACAAATATGACAAGCTTCTGGTTCCAGGGCACAAGTCTCAGTAGGCTCATCCATACCTATCCCCCACCTACCCCTTCTCTCTGCACACAATTCCCATCTCAGAATTTGACCAAGGGTTACCATATTTTTCACCCCTAAAAAGCCTGGTTCAAATATCAATGGTCAACAGATGAACTGGGCTTCACAGCTTGAGCTCTTCCACAAACACCAAGCAGATGAGAAGGAGTCTCCCAGGGGACACATTCCATTGCCCCAGAAAAGGAGGAAGAAGAGACCGGGCAGGGAAAGACACACCCAAGTGTCCTGCCATTTCTGATCTTTGGAAAAGATTCTTATTGTGCCACCCTCCCCGCCCCCCCGCCCGCATGATCACATCAACCACTGGTTCACTGATATTCTCAGATGAGTCCAGACCTCCAAAACACTTCACGTACCAAAGAAGCCCCTCCCTCCTTCTTAAAATGAACAAAAATCATCATCATCATCATCATCATCATCATCATCATCATCATAACTGGGAGTCCTTGCAACACTGGTGGAAGAGTAAAATGGTTAAAAAAAAAAAAAAAAATCCCGGGAAGCACTCTGGTAATTTACGTCATGAGCCTTAAACATACTCATTCAGTTTGACCCACAGGATTTACTGACCACATACTAAGGGGTATGTGGTCAGTAAATCCTGTGGGTCAAAACACCCTCCTGTGGGTCCCGTGTCACAGACACACAGTGGGGATAAGGAACCCGCTCAGGCAACTGTCTCACTCCTGCCGCCCCAAGGGGTGTGAGCTGCTGCCTTGTTTAACGTAGACTCCACCAGTGCCTGGCCCATGGGAGGCACTCAAAAATACCTGGTGAATTAATGAACCCCGTCACACCATTTCTAGAAATGGCAAGTGTAAGGATACTCACTGCAAATGTTTATAAATACTGTTGCTCAAAAATAGAAATAACCTGGGCTTCACTGGTGGCGTGGTGGTTGAGAGTCCGCCTGCCGATGCAGGGGACACGGGTTCGTGCCCCGGTCCGGGAAGATCCCACATGCTGCGCAGTGGCTGGGCCCATGAGCCGTGGCCGCTGAGCCTGCGCGTCCGGAGCCTGTGCTCCGCAACGGGAGAGGCCACAACAGTGAGAAGCCCACGTACCGCAAAAAAAAAATAGAAATAACCTAAATTCCAATAATAGGAGAACAGTTGAAGATATTAGGGTCCAGACTGTAGGCAGTGAATCTGAAAAACTGTGTTTTAATAATGTTCAAGAAAATTGAGAAACAGGTATGATAAAATATTAGTGAAAAAAGAACAAATATAGGCAAAACCCATAACTATTAAAATGCTCATTTTTTTACGAAAAAAATACATGAAAACCTAGTGGAGGGGCTACATATCAAATTAATAAAAATTAATATTTAGTGGTTTCTGAAAAATGGTTTAGTAAAAGGATTAAGAGTTTGGGCTCTGAAAACAAACTCCCTGGGTTAAAGCCCTGACCCTGTCACTTAGGGGACTGGTGTTGTAACGTTAAGTCAGCCACAGAAAACGGCAACTTTACCAGAAGGAAACCTGGGAGACACCACCTTAGCCAAGAAACCTAAGTTAACATCTCCGAGACCTAGACAAGCCAACATCATGCGTCTCCGGATACCCTGCACTGAGGACAGTGCCAGAAATGCATAACCTGAGTCAACATCATAAGAAAATGTCAGACAAATACAAACTGAGGGACATTCTACAAAACAGATAACCTGTATTCTTCAACAGAGTCAAGGCTGTGACGGTCAAGGAAAGCTGAGGAACTGTTCCAGGTTAACAGAAACGCCAGATGGTCCAGTGGTTATGACTCTGAGCTTCCACTGCAGGGGGACGTAGGTTCGACGTCCCCAGGGGGACGTTGGGGAACTAAGATCCCACATGCTACACGGCTTGGCCAAAAAGAAAAATTAAATTTAAAAAGTAAAAATAAAAGACACACCAGAGGCGGTACAACTGAATGTGGTGTGTACTCCTGGATTGGTTACTGATCTGGGGAAAATATTTTTTTCTTTTTTTGTAAAAGAAAAGTGAGTGGGACAGTTGATGCAATTTTAATAAGATCTGCAGGTTAGATAACAGTACCGTATCAATGTTAATTTCCTGATTCTGATACATGACCTTGTTTTGTAGAGAGATATTTAGGAAAGTATTTTTAGGAAATATTTAGGAAGAAAAGGGGATCATGCCTGAAGCTTACTCTTCAAAGGTAAAGATAAAGCAAGAGCAGAAACGTGTTCACATTTGAAGAATCTGAGTAAAGTTTTGGTAAAGGGGACTTCTTTGTGTTAATTTTACAACTTTTCTAAAAATCTGAAAGCATTTCAAAATTAAAAAGTCTAAAAAAAAAAAAATCCAGGGAAGATATGAAAATGTAATGTACAGCACAGGGAATATAGACAATATTTTATAATAACTTTATATGGAGTATAATCTCTAAAAATATCAAATCACTCTGTTGTACTCCTGAAACTAATATAATACTGTAAATCAATTATACTTCAATTAAAAAATAATAAGAGAAAAGAAAAGCCACTATACTTTGAACTCTTAAAAAAAAAAAAAAAACTAGGAACTTCAGGCTAAATATTTAATCTCTCTGTCCTTGACCTTTCTCTTCTGAAAATGGGGATAATCATAGTACCTCTTAGTTGCTGGGAAGATTTAACGAATAATACACAGTACGTCAAATGGGACCTGATGTGTACCAAATACTCAAGGGAAGTTACCTATTGTTATCTTTTATGAGTGAAGTTGAAAATAACCCATTTCCCTCATTATATTCTTCTGAAATTTCCAAATTTTCCACACTACAAAAAATTGCTTCCATAATCAGAACAAAAGTTTTTTTTAAGGACAGAAAAAAGAAAGGAAGGAAGACTGGAAAGAAAAAAAAAACAAAATGTTAACAGACTAGTAAAACACGGACTGTGTCTTAACTAGACTCAAGTCAGGGGGCAAAGGATATGATACCATTTTCATGCTGGGCGAGGGAGTTCTCTGCCTACACCTACACAAAAGGCGTTCCTATCATATGGCACCCTAAGAGAAAAAGCAGTTAGGGGCTTCTTACAGAAAACACTACACAGGCAACTGTATTACCAGGTCCTATGCTCTTGAACACAGAATTAAATGAATCCTTTCAGCTTTAGCAAGAGTTGATGCTTAGATACAAAAATATGTGGCTTACTAGACTTCATCAAAATTTAAAACTTCCGGGGCTTCCCTGGTGGCGCAGTGGTTGAGAGTCCGCCTGCTGATGCAGGGGACACGGGTTCGTGCCCCGGTCCGGGAAGATCCCACATGCCGCGGAGCGGCTGAGCC